CAGTTAGAATGGCGATCATTAAAAAATCTGGAGACAGCAGACTAGAGAGGATGTGGAGACATAGGAACACTTTTACACTGTTGGTGAGAGTGTAATTAGTTCAACCATTGTGGAAGACAGTGTGGTAATTCCTCAAGGATCTAGAAATTGACATACTATTTGACCCAGCAATCTCATTACTGGGTATATGCCCAAAGTATTATAAATCATTCTATTATAAAAATACATGCACATATATGTTCATTGTGGCACTGTTTACTATAGCCAAGACTTGGAACCAACCCAAATGCCCATCAATGATAGACTGGATAAGGAAAATGTGGCACATATACACCATGGAATACTATGCAGCCATAAAAATGAATGAGTTCATGTGCTTTGCTGGGACATGTATGAAACTGGAAACCATCATTCTCAGCAAACTGACACAAGAACAGAAAATAGAACACAACATGTTCTCACTCATAGGTGGGTACTGAACAATAAGAACACATGGACACAGGGAGGGGAACATCAAACATTGGGGCCTGTTGGGGGTTGGGGGACTAGGGGAGGGGTAGCAGGGTGTGGGGGAATTGGGGAGGGATAACATTAGGAGAAATATCTAATGTAGATGACTAGGGGATGGATGCAGCAAACCACCACAGCATGTATATACCTATGTAACAATCCTGCAAGATATGCAGATGTACCTCAGAACTTAAAATATATATATATATATATATATATATATACATGACAGTGTGATAGGCAGAATAGTGGGTTTCCAAAAGTTATGCATGTCCAAACTCCTGGAACCTATGAATATCACCTTTTATGCCCAAAATAGACTTTGAAGATGTCATTACATATCTTGAGATGTTATTAAGTGTCTTATTATCCTGAATTATCTAGGTGGGCCCTAAATGGAATCACAAGTGTTCTCATAAGGAGACACAGGGAAATTTGACACAAAGGAGAAAGAAAGGAATGTGATGATGGATGCAGAGGGACATTTGAAGATACCATGTTGCTGGCTTTTAAGTTGAATGAGGGGGACACAAGCCAAGGAATGCAAGAAATTCACCTCTAGAAGTTGAAAAAAAGCAAGGAAGTGGCTATCTGCTGACTCTGGTTAATACTCCATTGAGGTATTTTAATTTCTTACTTCTAGCATTGTAAGAGAATAAGTTTTTTCTATTTTAAGCCTCTAAGTTTGTGGTAATTGTTACAGCAACAATAGGAAATTAATACAAATAGTTATAAATATATATTTGTCTGTAGCTTTTTTTCTCTTATTTAAATAGAAAGAAAACGTTATAAGACAATAATAACAAAACAGTGTTTGTTGTGGGCTTATATTCACTACAGATGTAATGGCTAAAATGTAATTTCTATGACATCCTATTTCTCCTCCTAGAGCACAAAGGAGGAAAGAGGAAATGAAGATTTATTATAGCAAAGTTTTACATCCCATTAAAATTAAGTTAGAATTGATACAAATTCACTTGTTCTAAATTAAGATACTAATTTTAATCCCTAGGTCAACTACACTAAGAAAATAATTTAAAAACTTTGTAAAGAAAAAGGATAATTGAAATGGTACACTGAAAATATCCTTTTAAAAGTAATTTAATAGTGGAGAAACAGAGGAACAAAAATACAGAACAAATTGAAAACAGCAAAATGGCAGGTGTAAATATTACCTTATTAATTATTGCATTAAATATAAGTTGATTAACCACTTCATTCAAAAGGAAGAAAGTATCAGAGTAGATAAAAAAGGCATGATCCAACTATATACTATCTATAAGAGAATATGTTTAAATAAGCAAATAAAATTAATGTGAAACAATGGAAAATATATACTATGCAAAGAATAACCAAAAGAGTCAATAAAAAAGACATTAAGACAAAAAAAAGGTTATCTTAGAATAAAAAAAGGTGTTATATAACAACCAGTCCAATCCATCAGGACTATATACAAATTATAAACATATATGAACATAAAACAGATTTCCAAAATACACAAAGCAAAAACTTACAGAACAGTAGGAAAAAAAAAGAATAAAATAAAGACAATCTAACGATAGTAATTGGAGACTTCAAAACCACACATTCGAAATTAATGGAACAAATAAGAATATCAGCAAGGTAGAAGACTTAAACAAAATTACAAAACCAACTAGAATAACAGGCATGTAAACAACACTCCAAACAGCACAAGCATACACATTACTGTCAAGCACCCATGAAACATTCTCCTGGAAAGACTACATAATAAAATCCTATATACACTTAAAAGTATTGAAATTATAAAAATAATATTCCCTGATCATAATGGAATTAAATTCATAATCAACGACATAAGGAAATATGAAAATCCTGCAAATATGTGGAAACTAAACAATATGCTTCCATTCAACCTGAAGGAATCATGAGAAAAATTAGAAAATACTTTTTTTTTAAAAAAACATAACACATTAAAAGTTATGGGATATAGTTAAGCAGCGTTTAGATAGAAATGTATAACTGTAAATGTTTACTTTGAAAAGATAAAAATCCCATATCAGTAAAGTTTTATCTTAAAAAGCTAGAGAAAGAAGAGCAACTTAAATCAAAGAAATCAAAAGGTAGGAAATAGTAACTATTAGAGTGGAAATAAACAAAATACAGAATAGAATATCAATGAAACTAAAAGTTGGCTGTTTGAAAATATGTATAAAAACAATCTGAAAAAAATTCAGCTACAGTGACCAAGAAAAAAAGATGAAAACTTAAACTATTAAAATCAGAAATAAAAAAGGGGTCATGATTAATAACTCTACAGATATAAAAAAAAGATTATGGCTGGGTGTGGTGGCTCACGCCTGTAATCCCACACTTTGGGAGGCCGAGGAGGGTGGATCACGAGGTCAAGAGATCGAGACTATCCTGGCCAACATGGTGAAACCCCGTCTCTACTAAAAATACAAAAATTAGCTGGGCTTGGTGGCGCACGCCTGTAGTCCCAGCTACTCAGGAGGCCGAGGCAGGAGAATTGCCTGAACCCAGGAGGCAGAGGTTGCATGAGCCAAGATCGCGCCATTGCACTCCAGCCTGGGTAACAGGAGCGAAACTCCATCTCAAAAGAAATAAAAATAAATAAATAAAAGATTATAAGATAATACTATTAGCAACTCATGACAACAAATGAGACAAAGTAGATGAACAGTACAAATTCTAAAAAAGACACAACCTACCCAGCTGACTTGAAATGGAAACACAAGTAAAATCATTAAAAATGGCAGAGTATGGAACTCTAGGACTCCATAATGAGCAATTAGTGAGCTGGCCAAAACTGTTACCATCGGCTTTCTCAGAACTCTGGAATCTAGTCAAAACATTATAACAATGAGAGGGAAATTTGGTGAAGAATAAAAGCTGCTACTTTGTGATAAGAAATAAATTTTCAATTGCCTATCTATCATTCTTTATGCCCCAGATTGGCAGTGATTTGTTGATGACAGCCCACTATACTGGTTTAGATAGTACCAGTGGTAGGGACTTGTATGGTATTCTCACAGAAATGTGGTATGGTGCTCAGCCTGCCTGGCAGCACTTTCATCACTAAGGCTTTTATTATACCAGACTGGGAGCACTCCCAGGGCTTGGGCTGCATTGACTCTCAAGTTGGCTTTTGCCAGCAGCATTTAAAATCACAGATATTGGCCACAGAAGTCTGCAGCAAAGGGCAACACTCAGAACAAGCAATGAACTTCTCAGCCTGAGAAGACTGAGAAGGAAGAGTTTGGGAAACAAGATATGTGGAAGAACAAGCATTTAAAAGAAAAAGTTTATATATACTGGAAAATCAAGAAGGCCATGTGTATGCCAAGGGTGGGACACATATTCAGAAAAGACCACAGAAAATGCAAGCATGCACCTTAGCATGAGTTTCAGGCTCTGCATAAGAAAAGTGTAAGGCATTAAAAAAGTACTCCAACTCAGAGCTCATCTGCAAAGACTGGGAAAATATGTTTTTTACTCATTGGTTTTCTTTTGTTGGCTTTAAGTATTTAAAGTAACAGCATCCAAACACCAGCTGACTAATAAACTAATAAAACACACTTTATGGCCATGCATGACAAAAAATACATAACTTGCTAAAATGGTTTTAAAAAATCACTAAACAAGTAAACAATAACCCATGAGAGAGCAACAACAAAACCCAACTAAGAGGGAGAATCTAATTTCCAGAGTCAATACATTATAATCAAAATATACAGATTTCAACAAAACTTTGTGAGGCATGTAAGGAAATAAGAAAGCACAACCCATACACAGGAAAGACATAATTAGAAACTATCCATGAAGAAATCCATGTATTAGAATAACTAGAAAATATTTTTAATCATCTGCCAAATACATGATACTATACTATAGTGACAAGAATATTAGCAATTTTCTAGTTCTTTGGGTTCAGTGGTGGTTTCACAAATGTGAAAAAGAAAAACAATGAAAGGAGATAAACAGTGGGGGAGGAGAGAAGAGGGGAAAGGAGGGGAGGGAGCAGCAGTAAGTGGGAATAGCATGTTGTGAACCAAAGACTATGAATTTGTGGATCTGAAATTCATATTAAAAATGTTTTAATGCTTTCTTTTCTAGCTGTCTGACATTCTCTTTCTGTGAAAACTGGTCAACTGTTGGAAGGTAACTTTCAAGCGTGGGGAGAGGCCAACGGACATGACAAGAAGGAAGTTGGTGAAATCAATTTGGGGTGCAGGGGCTTTTGAAATAAATTTGGGGTACAGGGCCTTGGGGTACCGTGTCTCTCAGGGTCCCTCAGGCAGTGATGTCCAATAGACAGTTGGCAAAGCTGATACGAGACACTGAGAAGGGCATAGCCTGGAGATGTAGATCTGGGAGTCATCGGTGTTTACAAAAAAATGAATGAGATCAAACAGGGAGAGAGAATTTGAGGACTGAGGAGAGAGGAGGCCCAGGACAGAACCCCAGGAACAGCGCCACTCAAGGTGGCAGCTCAGCTTCCTGGCAGGCACCACCACCCCAGCCTCTGGAGTCAGGCAGAGATTGTCTTGAAAGCGGGCTCTGGAGTTCTGGGTCTGAGCGCTCTTGGCAAAGTCGGGTACCCTCTATCATCAGCTGTGACACCTGTCGATAATGGGCATCAGAGAGAGGGGAGATGCCCTGCGAGGATGCTGTGGGATGCGCCAGGTAAAGTACTTGGGGTCAGAATGCCACCCCCTCCTCCTCTTCTTCCTGACGCCCCCTCCCCAATTCCTTTGTTACACACACCCTCTCCCACCTTCCGCAGCCTCCTGGTCCCTAAGGGATGGATGGTGAGGTGGATGGGAAGGGGGTGGTGATGGCCGAGCTCCGGTGACGCGGCACTCACGTGAGTGACCAGGCGCCTACGTGGGCACCAGCCCCCGTGCCCGCCCGCCCGGCCTGCGGTCCAGTCCCAGCGCCAGCCCAGAACCAATTGTCTGAGCTGCCCGGGCGGCGGAGGAGCAGCAAGCCGGCTTCAGCGAGCTGGAGGAGGCACAGGCCTGTCCGGGGTCCCGGCAGGTCAGTGCGAAGGTGGGCGCTGCCGGCGGACCCAGAGAAATGGTGGAGGTGACTGGCAGTAGGAGTGGGGAGGAGGTGGAGAAAGGATCCGGGAGATGGGTGACTACAGTGATGCGGTGCGGGCGGGGGCGGGTACGGGGGCGGGGGCGGGGGCGGGGGAGCCTGGCCCGCCTTCCGGACGACCCGCTGCACTGAGCCCTCCATCCATTTTAGTGCTGGAAATGCGGGTTAGAGGGAGCGACCCTGCAGTGCGACAGTGAAACGCAGATATTCTGGAAATAAACCCCTCTCATAATCTGCACCGGTGGACACATCTGACCTCCGCAAAAGCAGTGTGGCGCTGGGACAGGTTGCCTCTGGGAGAAGGGGACACAGAGACAAGCGCAGTTTGGAAAGCTTGAGGGTTTGGTGCCCCAGGACTGGAAAGAAATGGCGGCTGGGGTGTGGGGGAGGTAGGGGAGGAAAACGTTGGGTGAGCAGGGCCTGGACTCAGGAAAGGGATCCGAGTCCCTGTGAGCCCGCTGAGCGCGCAGCCCCTACCCCTGTCTCCTGTCTGTTTGCAGGTCTGAGCGTCTGTTGTTCCCAGCGCTCTGTGAGGCCTGAAAAGGAGGAACAACCTGTCCAGAATCCCCACAGGTCCGTGAAAGCGGGGTGGGGAGCGGGGGTGGGCTGCATGGACAGGGGCCCACAAGGGTTAAGGGTGTGGAGGGCCCGGCTATGGCCGAGTTGGGGCCCCTGCCCATCCCCCCACCCACATGAACAGGCACCTTACCAGGCTGAACCAGTGCAGAGGCGGCAGGGCCTGCCAGGCAATGGCTGGCTCACGTGTGTGGGAGGAGTGGCGGGCTACATGGTGGGCAGAAGGCCCTCTTGGAGGCCCAGCCAGGTTAGTGGAACCCTCACCACGGGTGAGATGCAGGTAATATCCAGACCTGCATTCCGCCCCACACCCTCAGTCTCTCATGTCTCTTCTTTGTCTCCTCTTCCCTCCACCCCCACCCCTCAGGACAGGAAAAGGAGAAATCTCAGCATGGAAAAACCCTACAATAAGAATGAAGGAAACCTGGAAAACGAGGGAAAGCCTGAAGATGAAGTAGAGCCTGATGATGAAGAAAAGCCAGACGTGGAGGGGAAGACAGAATGCGAGGGAAAGCGAGAGGATAAGGGAGAGCCAGGTGATGAGGGACAACTGGAAGATGAGGGAAGCCAGGAAAAGCAGGGCCAGTCCGAAGGTGAGGGCAAGCCACAAGGCGAGGACAAGCCAGCCTCCCAGGCAAAGCCGGAGAGCCAGCCGCGGGCCGCCGAAAAGCGCCCAGCTGAAGACTATGTGCCCCGGAAAGCAAAAAGAAAAACGGACAGGGGGACGGACGATTCCCCCAAGGACTCTCAGGAGGACATACAGGGAAGGCGTCTGAGCAGTGAGGAGATGATGAGAGAATGTGGAGATGTGTCAAGGGCTCAGGCGGAGCTGAGGAAGAAACAGAAAATGGGTGGTTTTCATTGGATGCAAAGAGATGTACAGGATTCATTCGCCCCAAGGGGCCAACGGGGTGTCAGGGGGATGAGGGGTGGAGGTAGGGGCCAGAGAGGCTTACACGATATCTCATACCTTTAATGCCTTTGGCCTTCCATTCTGACTTCTCTTATGAGAATACTGCCAGCCCTGCTTTTCCTGGTAGGTATTTGCCAGGCCCAGTGCTTTAACCTTAAGCTGATATTTTTGCTTTAAATGTCAATCTCTTTACCAGCAGCCTTTAACCCAACTACAAAGCTCTATATTTTAGTAGAGGATTTTCACCCATGTGCATGGAAAAAATGTTCATGACACATTGTAAAATAATAAATAAAGAGCAGTTTGCAGAACCGCATATACAATATCAGCCCATTTTTATAAAAACGTTAGTGTTCATATAATGCGTTTGCGCACAAAGAAAACTCTGAAAGCATGCACACTAGAAAGTAGGCAATGATTATTCCTGAAAGGTAGCCAATAATAGGTCTAACCTGTATTCAAAAATGATTCCTACCACCTCCTTTATGTGTACCTCTATGGCATTCCTCTGCTGCTGTGCATATCCCTGTCTTCCCTAGGTGTGTCCAGGTCAGTGGGCACTGTTGCTCATGTTCCTGGGTCCTCTATAATGCTACGTAACCCCCATGTGTGACTCTTTTTCTTTGCTTTGCTCACTCATCTCTACTTTTTCTTTACTAAGGGATATGGATTATATTTTTCATACTAAAAATAAAAGCTGAAAACAATACATAATAAGAAATTGAACTGTTCAGTGAGCTTATGAAGGCAATAAAGACACTTAAAGTTTGTGTTATCATAACATAAGATGACAGGTAAAATTCATATTGTCTCTGGCACTAAAAGCTAGTGGAATAAACCTGGAAATCCTAACAGATCTATTGCTGTAGGAGTCAAGCTTGTCATTTGTAAAATAAGGATAATACTTGCCTCACAGGACTGTTTGGTGGATCAGATGAGGTGTTGAGTATGTGAGCTGTGTTGTGACCTGGTCCCCACCAGGCACTCAGGGGAGGAACAGCTCCTACACTATTCCCATACAGTGGCAGGAAAGTTGATGGAATCGGACACATCAGGGGAGGGCTGAAGGAGTTACCACCGTGTCAAGGCAGCTAAGAAGTAGATGTCACTGTTTCTTAGATATTGCCACGTGTGCTGGGCACTATGCCCTTTTCCCCCAGGTCCTACACCCTTTAGTGATAGAGGATTTATGGTGTTAAAGCCCAGTCATTTTCTCTGGAGTCACTGGTGAGCAATGTCCACCAACCCTTTACCCCTGTAGAAGTGGATAAAGCCCTCTTTCCAGTTTATAGTTACAGCAACCAGGTACACATGGATATCATCACCTTGGTGCTGCTTGGGCCTCTTATTAATAGTTTCCAAATTCTTTTTTGGCAAAATGATCATTTATGTGTATTTCTTGTTTGTTTTGCATACATAAATATTCTCCTCACAAAACTCAGATATTGCAGGCTAGGCCAGGAAAAAAATACCTGCATGATAGTGACTATGCTGTTCTCATGGGTTATATCTTGTCTGCAGACTCCCTTTTCTCTGTTGAGTTCACTCTCAGGAAATTTGTCAGGTAACACTTTAGCAGTTCAGCAGACCCATCAATACATTTGAGTTTTAAATCCTTTGTAATGAACATGTTGTGGTCCACGAACCAGCTGCATAATGATCACCTGGGAACTAATTAGAAATGCAGAATCTCAGGTCCTGCCTCAGATCTACTGAGTTAGAATCTTCATTTTAACAAGATCCCAAGATGATTCCTATGACATTGAAGTTTGAAACGCATCGCCTTAGAAAGAGACTCTTGGCTTCCCACTCCTACCTTTACATAAAATATGGGCCTAAATAATAAACATATGTGCCATATAAGACACACATCACAGATTATTAAATAAGCCCATGTTTTTCAAAATGAAGTTGTCCTTCCCCCACAAAAAGTAGATCTTGAAATCAATGCAATGGGTCAAGACAGACAATTTTTGAAAAATGAAATAGGATAGAATAGAGTTGAATACAAACAGAAAATATCAAATTGCATTGTAAGTAGAGTGAATTTTTTTGTGAAATTTGTGTTTCAGTTATGTGAGTATGTTTGTGCACCATGAGTTATGACAAAAATAAATTTCTGACTGTGGGCTGCAGTAAGAAATTTGAGAAAGACTTCACTGGATTCTGCATCTCAAAGCATAGCCTGTCCATTTTATATTTGTATTTCTAGTGCCTAACACAAGTAACTGACAAGTAGTAAGTACTTAATAAAAATGTAAATAATAATGACTGAGTCTCCAAGTTTAGCCCCTGTCTACCTAAATAACTCTGGACAAATAACTTAAATTGTCTAACAGGGTTTACTTATATTCCCGAAAGTACTGGGGAGCTATGGGCTTCACAGGCTGTACAAGGCCTGCTATATATAGTAGAATATCAGTAGAGATATTAGTTCACTATACATAGTTCACAGTCAAAGCTTCCCTTACACATATTCAGCAGCACCAAGGAGAGCTCCTGCACTGTAAGGCGTGGAACTTCTCAGCCCCTGGAAAGTGAAACTAAACAGCTGTATAATCTGTGCTATAAAAAGACCCAGGACCAGATGAGGTGGCTCACATCTATAATCACAGCACTTTGGGAGGCCGAGGCAGGTGGATCACCTGAGGCCAGGAGTTTGAGACCACCCTGGCCAACACAGTGAAACCCCGTCTCTATTAAAAATACAAAAAGTTAGCTGAATGTGGTGGTGGGCACCTGTAATCCCAGCTACTTGGGAGGCAGAGGCAGGAGAATTGCTTGAACCCAGGAGGCGGAGGTTGCAGTGGGCCAAGATCATGCCATTTAACTCCAGCCTGGACAGAGCGAGACTCTACCTAAAATAAATAAATAAATAAATAAATAAATAAATAAATAAATAAATAAATAAATAAAATAAGATGCACTGGAGGGCTCTGTATATGCCATAGGAGCACAGCTTCACAAAGGAACAGAGGAATGCCTGCCAGAGTGGGAAATTATGAGTGGTAAGCTGTCCTGGATGGGTAGCAGTTAAGTACATACCTGCAGATGACCTTACTAGACTTAGTTTGAAGGAATTAAGACTTTAGATTTTAAAGACAATATACATCATACTGATTTTGTTCTTGGACTCCACATGGTTTCCAGTTTTAAGTGGTACCCAGAGCATGAAAAAGATCTACAGTAGTTTCAGACTGTAGTGGGAGCTTCTCTGACACTTCAGCCTCATGACCCTGCAGATCCAACTGTGTTATGTCCATGCTAGAAAGAAAGGCTCCACAAAATTTTAGAAACCTCCAACGGTAGAATTAAAGTATATGCCTCTAGGGTTTTTTAAGCAAAATCATTCCCTCTTTTCTTGGCAACTAATCTACATTTGAGAATCTGCTCCTGGCTTGCTATCAAAACTAGTAGAGACTTAACACCTGACCATGAGGTATTAGTTTTCCATACTACCAAGCTACTCTTAATGAATGTATTGCTGTCTACTCTGTTGAAAAATAAAGTTTTGTGTGGACATCATCTTTCAACTATTAATTGCAAATGGCTTTACAAGATCAGAGCTGAGTAAGCCAAGAAGCCACAAGTAAATTTCATGTGCAGTTTGATCAGACTCACTGACTCTCTCTCAACCAACATATATCACATATGGCATCTTGGAGAGTTCTTCATCCTTGTGACCAGTTAAAAAAAAGAGATATAAAACAATGTATCAGTTCCTGGATGTATCTTCTTGGTATATTGATAGTAGGTATAAGTGGATGGCTGCCTCACTGTAGTCTTACTTAGGGATAACCCAGAACAGTAGAAAAAAGACATGTAGGATTTTGTGTGAATCGTATGGTTGTCCATTTTGCATAGAACCCTTAATTATTGGAGGTATGGATCTACCCTGCCTCATGAGCAATGACTAAAATACTGGCTGGCCAGTGACATGGAGAGAATTAGTTGGACAATTAATGATAAGGATTTTAGATGTCCTAGACATCTTAAGGAGGATTTAAAATTTCAGCCAGACAGAGTTTTCATTGGAGGCTCTGAGGGAAAATTTGCATTCAAGTTCTTTCATGTTGTTTTCAGAATTGTTTTCTTTAAAACCTTGTGAGGTGAGTCTTGCATAAATTATACTAGGTTTCACTCCATTGAAGAAAATTCACACTGACAGATATTTTGAGATCATCTTTCTCTATTGTTGTTTCTTGCTGGTATAGCTGAGTGTGGCTGCTTTCAGTTCCTAAAGGCTATGTGCATTCCTTGCCACGTGGTACCCTCCAGCTTTAAGGCAGCAACAGCTAACGGAATCCTTTTTATGCTTTTAATGTCTGATTTCTCTGTCTCTGACATCTAGGATCGACCCTTCTAGTTTAGTTGAGAGAATATTTGAGTCATGCTTTCAATCTTTGTGTGGCTGAGTGTTCTTTCTTATTTTTCTAAGGTTTCAAAGAAAGACTGTAACAACTACATCCTCCGCTTTTTCTCTGTGTCATACTTTCAGGAGGAATCTCTTAATTTTAGTATGTTTTGTCATTTGGATAGGATGGGTATTTTCCAGTCCTCAAGTTTTAGTTCCTTTTTATTTAACAGCTATTCTTTCAATATATCTCTCTCATCATCTTTTGCCATAAGCAGCAGGAACTAACCAGACTACACTTCAAAACATTGCTTGGAAATAATCACAGCTAAATGTCCCAGTGCATCACTTGCAAGTTCTGCTTTCCACATAACTGTTGGAAAGTATTTCTCTAATTTTCATGCTACTACATATAAGGATCTTCTTTCCTCCAGTCTCTAGTAACATACTCCTCACATACTGTTGGCCCCTCACCAGCAGAATCTTTAAGGTGTATGTTTTTACTTACAGTTAGATAAAGATAATCATGTTCCTCAAAATTCTCCCAGCCTCCATCAACTGCCGGCTTCCCCAGCCACTCTCATATATTTAGGCATTCGCTACTTTCAGTAACAAAATCTTTATTAATAATCTGTTACTGTGTAACATATCACCAAAGGTAGCACCTTCAAACAATACCTACTTTTTATCTGACAGTTCTATAGGTCAGAACTTTGGAATTCATGACTGAATTCCTTTATCAGGGTTTCACAAAGCTAAAATCAAGATGTCAGCTAAACTGAGTTCATATGTGGGGGTCTTGACAAAAAATAATGTACTATCAAACTAATTACTCTTGGAAAAAGTTACACTTGTAAACTAAAAAGAACGTCTCAAGGCCCCCACCGACTGAACAGACCAATTCTTAGCCAAAGGGACTGCAGAGAAACCTTAAAACCTGAGTTCCTGGCTGTCACAGGATGCTAGGTCAGACACTCCTCATTATACCCCCTCCCTTTTACAATTTAGAGAAAACAACTGACGACCATAAATGTATGTGTGTGTGTGTGTGTGTGTGTTTGTGTGTGTGTAATGCTAATAGAATGGAATTTCTGTGGCAATAAGATATGAAATTACAAACAGGACCTAAGGTCATGGCAGGTAAGGGTTAAGTCATGAATGCCTACACTTAAAGAATAAACTATGTTTTAACTGCTACAAGGTTTTTCTTTTTCTCTAGCAGCTGCACAAGCACTGGCCTTGAGGTAAGTGATATTAAAACAATTGTATCTCACTACCAGACGCTAACTGACTGATTCTCTGTTCCACAAGCCATAACTACAGCTTTCATTGGACAAGAGACTGATTTCAGTAACTTTCTCCTGATAAGAGCACTGACCAGGGACTGGTTCTGGGCCAGTTTACAGAGGCCAGAACTTGAGCACCTTCATGTCCCTGTTTTACCTTTTGACTTATAGAGACTTATTGTAATACATTTAAATGTTAAGTTTCCACCCCAAGGG